TCATCATACGTCAGGTTTTTGAATGGTTCCAACTCCCTCCAGTAGCAGCTGTCAACTTCTGGGCCGGCGTTGAAATTCTTAGTTTCCAGGGTATGAGTGTTGAAATCGATAATTTCGCCTTCTAGGTAGGTGATTATGTGCGCTCCTTGGTTGTTGGCCGACTTGTCAGGGATGTTGTATGCTTCCATGGTACCAGACAAGGTCATGGTCTGATAGTCAACATTATGAATGGTCACTTTAACAGGCCAGCTTTCTGTCTTTGCAGGCTCTGGGTCTTGACTGCTACTGCTGCTGTTATTGTTGCTACCGTTACTGTTGCTGTTGCCCATGATATTGCTTGCCCAATAACTTCGGCCGCTGCTGGTGTAGACGCTTATCCGGCTTCCAGCACCCGAGGCAGCGTTAGACTCTGTCGAGGGGCGAGTAGTTCCCAGCAACCTGTGTGGCAGCATTGCAGTCGATGCCGTCGCTTGCTGTTGGCCAGAGAAAACAGTGCCAGGGCTCAACCAGGAGCAGTAGCCTGGGCCTGCAATCGAGCCTGTGTCAAGGATGAAGTCATCTTCATTGCGAAGGAAATACTCAAACTGAACAAAGCCTCCAGCTGCGGCGGTGGAAAGGCTTTCTTCATAAGAGTTTGAGAAACGGACTCGGTCCAGGTACTGGATGGCCTCCCTGAGGCGGTCAATAGAGGGGTCTTTGAGGTACATGCGGCGAATATCGGAATTTCTCGATGTATCGATGCGAGCAGGTGGTGATAACCGAGGACTCGAGCGTCTCCCTTGGGGAGAAAAGGAGAAAGGGGTGGCAAAATCGTTATTATTATTGTTGTTGTTGCTGGTGCTGCTGTTGTTATTGTAGCTGCTGTAGCCGTTGGTGCTTGCGTTAATGGTCCTGTCTCGGCCGTCGTCTGGTCGGCTGGCTCTCTCACCGTCCTGCATCTGGTTCTGCGGCGTTCGCACTCTCGGTGAGTATCTGTGGTTTCTTCTGACAGACTGTAAGATGGCTGCGGTGACCAAGGCCGGGTTGTCTCGTGCCAGGGGCATGTTCGGCGCTCCCACAGCACGTCCGCCTTCCTGCTCTTCGGGCGGTGACTCCGACGCCAACTGGGCCGTCCCTCTGAGCTCTCTAGGCAGATGACTCCAAAGCGAGCCGTCCTCGTCTCTGGAAGAAGAAGACGCTGACCGGTCGAACCATATCTCGTCTCGAGGATGCAATGGGTCGGTGCGGACGTAGAGACCGCCTTCTTCGTCCTGCGTCGGGGCCCAGCTGTATATCCTGTTCGACTGCTGAGGAGGACCTTCGTAGGCCGGGCCGTGGCTGATGTTCATGGCTCCCCGTCGGCGAATGATTGGTATCCTCTGTCCATGGCCGGAGGTATACTGTTGATGCGACCTAGGCATGTACTGATCACCGCCGAAGTCGACGGAATCGTGAGGCGAATCGGCCATTCCTGCACCAGCACCCACCCCTACGCCTCCTCCTCCTCCGCCGCCGCCTCCACCGAGCTGGCGTCTGCGGGTACGGGCACGCGAGGGCGAGAGCTCCGTCGACGACCGTCTTCTGCTTCGAAGAAAGTGGACGTTTTCGCTGTGTATCTCATCCTCTGGGTTGCTCATCAGGGTGGCGGCCAGGTCTGGTACCGGGCTGGCAAAGGACTCGAGCTGCTGCAGGTAGTAGCTTAACGACGGCGGCGTGACGGATGTCGCTGGCGTCTCCGGCCGTTCAACAGGAGGATGCTATATCGTTCACACGCAAAGAAGCAGCCGTCTCGTCAGCAAAGGAGCAAGAAATACGCAGGGGGGAGTTGACGGGGAGGGAAGATGATGAAGAAGAAGAAGAAGAAAAAAAAAATAGGTAGACTGGCGGATGGAGAAAGATACGCCAAGATCGGGGGAAAGATGTTGATTAAGGATGGACCGAGAGAGCGTAAGGGCAAGGAGGCTGTCTCACTGGGGGGTTGTCATGGCCATTACGGCTGCTGCTGGCGCTGCTGTCACTGCGAGTCGGCGGCATGGCGATGCGCTGGCTTCCAGGTGGGATCGCCAGCTGAAGACATGAAGCCGTTGGGTCGGATGTTGCTGTCGCTGTCGCTGTCGTCGCTGCGGAGGCAAAAGTACGACAGGTTGCGCCAGGAATTCCGCCCTGGCTGGGTCAAATGACGTCCTTGTTTGCTTTTCTTCCTCGACGGCCTCTGAAGGCCAGCGGCAGTCGGCAGAGTCAGTTGATACGGACGAGACGCAGACGACGGCGATGCTCTGAGGAGACGAAGAGAGCGAGGAGTCTGAAGGAACGGGGCAGAGACACAAGAGGGGAGGAGAAGAAGAAGAAGAAGAAGAAGAAGAGGGAGACGAAAGGGAGCTGCCCGCTTCTCCAGCGCTGAGGTTGGACAGAACCAGGACTGCTGAACCGGAAAAACTGCCTCTGGCTGCTGTCAAGATGGCAGACTTGCACGCCGTCAGTCCTGGTGGAGAGGATGCTCGCTGTCTGGCTGTCTTGATACCCTCGTTGCGGCGTGGGAGCGACGTGGACAGGATGCTGATATCCCGGCTCGGACTCGACCACGACCCAGCTCGACTCGATCCTCTGGCCGAATGCCGTCGATTATACCGGCTACACATGCAGCAGACGGGATCAACTGCTTCATGGCCGTCATCCCCGGTGCAGGAGGTTGTTTGACAACTTCCTGTGGCTACGAGTGAAGCCCCTGGGTTGCCTGTTTATAAAAAGGCATCTTCCAACTGGGAAAAAGGGAGCCGAGAACCACCTCTTCTCTGTGATATAAGCATATATCAGGAGCTTGATGGCATAGAGGGCAGGATTTCCTCCCTGTGGCCCGGTGGTACAAGGCCAATATCTCGGGTATGGTTCATGACAGTGTCGGTTACGCCAGCAAATATAGCCCGGGGTGTTACTCCGAGCGAAGACATATACAGACACCACAAGTGTACTACGTGTTTGCCATGTCCAAACTTCAAAGCCAGGTGCCAGTGATCGGAGGCACTGGTGGATAGTAGAGCATCGATGGTTGACTGCCAATAGAGTCGATAGTACATGAAGGGCCATCGCCAGACATAGACAGAAGACTGTTCATATTCCTAGGCCTACTGCTATTCTCCGTGTTACTGTTCAGCCTGCAATGAGACTGTGATTCACTGTAGAGTAAAAGTACAGCAGGAGTGTGTATCCTGTGCTATGCCTTGCCCGAGGTAAACAAGATCCACCCCTCGAGTATAAAAAAGTGCGGATGCGGATGTCATCTTCTCTCTCTCTCTAAACATTCCCAGCCCAGGTTGAAACTACCATGGCGAAAATCAAGACCATAGAACACTTTCGAGTACTCCCCAGGTGGCTCTTTGTCAAGATAACGGACGAACAAGGCGGCTACGGATGGGGTGAAAGCACTCTCGAGGGTCACTCAGAGTCCGTCGAAGGGGCGTTGAATGCCTTGAGCAGACAGATTCAGGGTTACGAAGCAGAGTAATTCTACCTTTCCTCACGGATGAAGTGCAAGTGAAGAAAAGCTAACCGTCCAATGCCAGTGATATTGAACATATATGGCAGACAGCATGGAGACAAGGCTTCTATCGTGGCGGCCCAGTCTTCATGTCCGCCCTGTCTGGTATCGACATTGCACTCTGGGATCTCAAGGCCAGACGGCTCGGGATCCCCATCTACCAGCTACTGGGTGGTAAAGTGCGGAATAAGATATCCGTTTACGCCTGGATTGGAGGCGACAGACCGGCTGATGTAGAGGCAGCTGGTCAATCAAGGCTCGCCCAGGGATTCAAGGCCATCAAAATGAATGCTACAGAAGACATCAACTGGCTAGACTCTCCACGTACCCTCGAAGCCAGCGTCGAAAGGCTGAAAACAGTCAAGGACCTAGGCCTCGATGCTGCCCTGGACTTCCATGGCCGGCTTCACAAACCCATGGCCAAACAACTAGCCAAGATGGTCGAGCCATATCAGCCCCTATTCATTGAGGAGCCACTGCTCTCCGAACACCCAGAGGGCATCAAGCAGCTCTCCAGCCAAACAGCTACCCCCATAGCACTGGGAGAGCGCCTGTATAGTCGCTGGGATGTCAAACGCTTCCTCGAAGACGCGAGTGTCGATATCCTACAACCGGATATCAGCCACTGCGGCGGTATTTCCGAGCTTCGGCGCATCGCCGCCATGGCTGAAACATACGATGTTGCTATTGCTCCGCATTGCCCATTGGGTCCTATTGCTTTGGCAGCTAGTATGCAGGTCGACTTATCGACCCCGAACTTCGTGATACAAGAGATGAGCTTGGGGATCCATTACAATACTACGGAGTCCGGAGAGGAGTATGATATCACCAACTATATAAAGGACACTAGTGTATTTGATGTCAAAGATGGATATGTGAAAGCCTTGGATGGCCCAGGGCTTGGGATAGAAGTGGATGAAGAGGAGGTGAGGAGGGTTTCTAAAGGCACAAAGCCCTGGGTCACCACTGGCTTCTTTGGACCGGATGGTAGTATTCGTGAGTGGTAGTAGTAGATATATTATCATAAGTCTACCAGGATAAAACACAATTGAAGATCCAATCTAATTGACATATATCCTATTCTAGACTCTATCCAGTGCGAGTGACCTTATCTAACCAAGAAAAAGCCTTTCAAATATAAACAAAATCTATAACCAGTATGGTGGAAAAGATATCAATGAAATCCAAACAGAAAGGGAAGAAGAGGAAAGTAATATAAATAGGATAGTCATCAGGTCGTTCGAGTCCGTTCCAGGTTCCACTGATCAGCGCGATCCAAGCAATCATAAATCGTTTTCCAAAACTTATCAACGTCGACGCTCTGCGGAATGGTGACTCCCTTTGCTCCCGCAGGACACGGTTTGACAAATGTACGGCCAATTTCACCCTGCAAGTCGGCTCCTTCAACACAGTGATGAAGCCCATCTGTGTGGATAGAAACGTCATATCTTGTGCCGTTTGTGTCGTCAAATATCAGTTGTTCCTTAAGGTTAGTTGCCGTCTTAGCTTGGTCGTTGAGGTTGGACAGCAAAATGGCGACTGCAAGAGGGTCATGGAGAGGCGGGCCAGCGCTTATTCCAAAAACAGTATCATAGGTCCCAGCGAAGAACATTAACAATGCATGAAGGATTTGTCGAAGGACTGTAGGATCTTGTTTCTCTCCCGCTTCGCCCTTGACGCCCAGAATGCGTGATTGCACAGTTTTCGTAGCCAGTACTTGATGCGTCAAATCGACTGTCACCAGTGTGGTCTTTGGTGCCAGGACTGGGGATGAGAAAATCGACTCTGCCGATTCCGGGTCACACTAAGAACTTTGTCAGATTATCTACGGACAACAGGAGGTTTCAATAAACTGACGTATATATTGAACTCCGCCCAGGGAGTTATATTTCCAACTCTTGACTCATCTCCCCGTTTCTGGCTGATGGGGACACTTGAGAAGCCTCCACCTATAGCACCACCCATGATACTAACACCACGGACATGTTCTGCAACCTCAGGAAAGGTAGCGAACAGAATGGCTAAATTGGTAAGGGTTCCAGTAGCTACAACCCATGCAGTATCTTTTGGCTGTGATAACAGAGCATCCCTCATGGCGATATATGCAGAGACATTGGTCACCGCTGGTTTAGTTGGAGCAGGGAGAAGGTCTGTCCCGTCAATGCCAGATGTTCCTAGAAGGCAATATCTGTTAGCAATATAGTACTGCATATGGTCTTAATAGGTTATGTGGTACCATGTATATCCTCTGCGTGAACGGCTTTGCGACAGAATGGCTTCTTTGCGCCGGGATACACGGGGATATCGGAACGCCCGACGGCTTCGAGAATGCTCCCAGCATTGACTGTTGTATTTTCCAAAGACCCATTGCCATGCACCGTACTTATGCCAAGTAACCTCAGTGCTGGGTGATGGGCAGCAAGCAGAATCGCAAACGCATCCTATCTTTGTTAGACATTGCTCTGCCTCGTCCCTCGTCTTTGCCGGGGGTACTCACATCATGCCCTAGTTATGACGTATCAATTAGCAAGAACATTCACAACAAAAGCAAGAAGCAAACTCACCTGGATCGCAATCAAGCCAGAGAGGGATACGACTATCGTCTGACGCTGAAATCGAGCCCATGGTTGCTAGTATATCGACGTCTCGACTTCACGAACGTCCCTTGTGTCCTTTGAATTGCCGAAGAGAAGATGAGAAGTCGCAACCCTCCGGCGCAAATCCGACGGTTGCGCTCCGGTGGCCCGTGCATTCCCATCTTATTATTGCCGTTATCGATAAGCTTGACTTAGTCATCATGCGGCTTGGCTCTTCCCGGCTTGGCGTTCTTTCTTCAACTTTCGATGCAGAAAGACGTCAGACGTCGAAGTCAACAACACATTGACAACCATCTCTCGAGACTCTGGCAAACGGACGTCCGCCTCATGGGTGGCAGCAAACAGCTCGACTGCTTCTGCCGGTGTCCATGAATGATCCAGCCTGGACTGACATATGCCTTGGCATTCCGTGATTGGAGATGCCTGGACTCTCAGGACATCTGCGGCCGCCTGCTTCGAAATCGAAAGCAAAAATACCAACAGTCTCAATTCCTTCCCATGGTTCCCCTCCCACACCCCGGCCTTCATCCCGCGTCCACCAGCGCAGTAAACATGCCCCAGACCGGCTTCAGTTGCATGCAACCAGTGACAAAGCCACAACAGCCTTGATTCGCCGAGTCTTATGCCCGAACGCCAGTGGCCATGGTGGCCTGGATCGTGGCAGCCCTCGTCCGATTGAGGAGCTGCTCCCCCCACTAACTAGCATGAATGAGGTTGATCTCCAGCTCTATGCTTTGATGGCTGTTGTTATGAAAGAGTTCGTCCATTCTTGGTACTCGAAGATCACCCCTGATACCCTCTTCACGGAGGAAGTCGTCCAGCTTGTTGCGCATTGCACTAGAGCATTGGAGCAGAGACTACGACGGGTTGACGTGGAGACGCTACTGTTTGATGAGATCCCTTCATTGTTAGAAGCTCATATCATTGGTAAGCCACCATACTTGTTGTTGTTTTTTGTTTTACTCCAGGAATTTATATATACATTCATGTATATATCGATTCAGGAGGTCCACAGGGGTTATCATGAATGAGCTTGTCTTAATGACGAATGACGGCAGCGTACCGAACCGCCCGTGAAAGCTCGGCAAGAGCAGAAGATTCAAGCCGGCGATTGCGTGTGGTCTATCATACGTTGCACCCACATCCAGCACTATCACCGGCCCCTGGTCCTAGTGACGAGGATGGTGCGAAACAACGAGAGGCCGAGAAAATATACCGTCAGCTTCTGGCCCACGGAGCTATGGCTGTGCTTCTTCCCACAGAAGATTTGCAGAATGTTTGCTTACGAACATTGGTTGGAGATATATTGGCCGATCTACTCTTGGGAGGGGTTGTCAGTGGGAAAGTTTCTGAGGGGTGGTTTATCTGGGATGCCATCTCGAAAATTCTCGCGAGCTTGAACCAAAAACCTCAAGATGATGGTGTGGAACACGACCACAGTGGCAATCTAGAAAAAGGCGATCCCGAACCTGATCAGGAACGATCATCTAACTTTGGCAGTTATTCCACTCAGAAAGGCCAATCGATCCTCCTATCAACCCTTTTCAACTTGATGCAATACTGCTATATAGCCTATGTTGCATCTCGGTTCGTGGCTTTGGGGTTGTTTCGTGTCTCATCTTCACCATCGTCAACAGCAACAACCTCATCCCCAGCATATGCTAGCAATAGCATCAACTCTAAAGAGGCAACCCCTTCCCGATCCAAGGGTAACATCGTGCGATTGCCCGTTTTGGAGTATCGAATCCTTAGCGTGATTTCGCAGCTTCTTGACATATCAAGCCGAATGCCATGGCTTGGAGGGATTCTGGCCCTTGTCCACCACCTTTTGATGACAGGCCCGGGCAAGATTGGAACGGCAGATGGAGTGATTGACAGGTGAGTTTGCGAGTTTGTTTTGACGGTCGAGCCCACTTCTTGCTTTGCTTTGCTTTGCCCATGCCATTTCCCGTTTCCTTTTCGCCATGACCGTTGGGTAAATTCGAGGTCCCCATATAAACTTCTTGTGTTTTGTTATCGAAGAGCCCGCCCGTTTCTTCGCCTCTCCCCACCTACGCCCTTGATAGGATGGATGAAGGGCTGTCTTCATTCACCCGTGCTCCATCCAAACATCGATCTTGAACGAACGCCTCAAGCAATCAGATCGCATGGCAGGGATCTCATTTTGAGTTTCGAGTTTTCATGCATAGCACTTCAGTCACTTGATTTTATGGAGGGTAGGGCTGCGCCCAATCAGGATCCCTATTCTCCAAGCGACTCGAGAGGACCACAAAAGAGCAAAAAAGAGATGCAAAAGCAAAAATAAAAAAAGAATGAGACCCCGTATCGTCACCATGCGTACGCGGTATTAGTGTATTGATACCCTGGTATTCGTATTACCAACATCTGTTTTCCTTACCGGGCTCCGTTACAATACGACTACGGCTTCCCCTTGCGCGGCCGCGCATTCTTACTCGAGTACGGAGTGCATGCGCCTTTCTCTCTGATATCCAATGTGCATCGAGGAATCAATCCATCCTCCTCCGCGCTGATCTGTGGGACGGGCCTTCCTCCCTTCCGCAAGCCTCCAACCTTTTGCATTCTTCAGGATTCAGCATCACTGGGCGCCGATTGGCATGGCGATTCATCCATCCACTGCCAACCAACCAGTGTCCTTTTTTTCCTTTTGTATTTCCATTTCTGTCCACGAATGTGTCCTTTGTTACCCTTGCAGTCTCGTTTAACCAGCTTCAACTATTTTCTGGGACTAGTTTCTGCATTAATTTTCCCCCTCCGCTATCTATTCTTCCTTCAGGGTCCTTCTTTTCTGCTCTAGTGCTCCTAGGGGTGATGGCATTGCTAACGATTTAATAATAGATTTCTTCGTCATTGTATTCGCAAGTATCTCCTGACTGCCACAATTTTGCCGTCTTTGCTGCTTGCGATCCGAACCACGGTCTTTCCAATTAATGGTAGGGCCAGCCTAACGCGGGTTTCCGGGATTTCTGCGGCCACACAACAGCAGCAGCCTTCCACCCCTGGTTCAGACGCCGAGATCGGCACCTTCACCAGCAGCGGTTCAAATACTGATGGTCAAAATCGCATCCAGACTAGCAGCAGCAGCAATGCCTTACAGGAGACGCAGGCATCGCTTAATACAGCCTCGCCTCGAGCCAGCGTGGTAGACGCTTCCTCGTCTGGATCTGAACAACCATCTGCAGCAGAGGTAAAAACGATTAAGCGGGCATGTGCTGCGAGTATACTCGCCTTGATTCCTCGCCGGATCGCCTTGACTCTTTTCGCAACTCATCAAACAGACGGGAATTCATCCCCAGCGGCAGCCAGTATCACGGCCCAGGACAAGCCGGACCCGTTCGTTCAATCCAGCGTTCCCGAGTCTTCGGTTAATAGTAGAATCGACTCGCCTCTATCAGGCGCTGGATCTGAACCGGGACTGGCAAACAATTCAAATCCGAGCCGTCAAGATGGTCGACATGGTGGGCCAGGCACTCATCGACAAACCCTCCCAGCTCAGAGCAGTCATGATCGCAATGCTAGAGACGGGAAGGCCACCGATGACGGCCCTGATCTGCCAAAGTCCCCTTCAGGTAAGGAATCGAAGGATTACAAGGACGACGAAGATGATGCCTTACTCTCCGCCATCGAACATGACCTCCTCGACCTGTTTTCAGACTCTTATTGTAACAAGCATCTCATCTACTCGATTGTTGAGCTCGTTCTCGTTAAGCTGATTCCTGAAATGGGCGAGCATAGCGTGACCGAGCTGATGAACGAACGAGGAGTTTTATGGTCGACTGCATCAACTACAACAACCAATGGATGATTTTCCTCACTCGCCTTTCCTCCCTTCCTCTCTCACTTTCCTTATTTCTGGCCTGTCCTTTTAACTTGGTGACGTATCTATTTAATGCTTTATTACCCCCTTGTATATATGTTTAATATTATTGACTTTTTTTTGGCCCTTCCTTTATGCGCTCACTCACACTCACTCTCTCTCGCCCGATCCCATCGGGACGGCATTGACTTGATAGAATACTCCTTTTGGACTGCTCAAAGTGGCAACAGATCCTAACACACGCATGACCAGTACCAGGGGTCTATCGTTACACTCATGCACCGAGAGCTGCTTGACTTGAGAACGGGCCTTTTTGCTCTTGCGACCGGTCCATATCTTGTATCTTGCCTGGCACGGCAGAGTATACAGAGAGTACCTTGCTGTCACTGCTCTCATGCCGCCATCCACCTCTCCCTTGCTCCCTCTCTCTGGCCTCATTTCTCTCCTTTTTACCACCATCTCTATCCCGCCTGCACACAGATCCATGTTGCCCGACAGCCTTCAGCACTGTCATGCCTCCCGCGGAAACCAAGTATAACTTCCGATATCGTTCATGCAACCTACCTGACCGCTCATCCCCATTGATTTTTCTCCGCATAAGCGCCCTGTCGGCCCAAACTATATTGCACGGTTATATACATTGTTACATCATAACTACTTATTTGCATGCCGTGAGAAGTGGCCGTGGTATCGACCTTCTTCCTCTCTCTCCACTGTATCCCTACCCCTACCTACATGCACACTGACATCCTACACACACCCTCTAGTTATATCTTCCATTGACCCGATGCAACGGTAAATAGACAAAATAAATATAGTAGACTGGGACAACCGATGGAACGACAGGACTTTTCTCGTACTCTATTTTCTTTTGCTTTTTTATTTTTTTTTTTTTTTTTTTACTTTTTCGCTTCGCTCTCTTTTTGCCATGTTCGTTAGCTAGAGGCGGTTGGTCTTGGGTGGTCGCGTTGGCAGCACGCAGAGCCTGCCCGACTTGCTACAGGACGGGTCACGGAGGCAAAAAGGGATGACGGTGGTAACTAGACAGGGAACGCCGTACCCGCCAGGAAGGGTCACCGAGCGTCTTCTCGACGCCCTGGCCAGGTCGAGGTTCGGGACTCGAACGCCAGAGAAGAGCCAGCCAGCCGTTCAGGCTGCCAGAGAGCTGTTGTGAGACAGTACATGGAAAAGCAACGAATAAGGATATGCGATTTTGCGCAAATCTGTACGCAGAGTGTTACTGCTATTCGCATAAGAACGGACGAAGTAGATGACAAGCTCAGAAATTGTTATTTGGCAGCTAGCTAGCTAATATGGTGTCTGTCTTTTCTGCATCTTCCCGCTACGGATTCCAAATTGCCTTGTAGATTCCAATGTTGTTGTCCACCTCTGCCTGGCGCGATTCAAAACTGCATAAGAAAAAGGAAATGAATAAGTAGATAGAGAGGTAACTAGTTACTTAGGGGGTATGTAGCAAAGGTAGCAAAGAGATGAAGAGTAAAAGTAAAAATAAAAAGGAAGAATAGTTAATTGAAGAAATGAACCAAGTCCCAGTTGCCTGTCCTATCCCCATTTCCCAGCCCGCGCGAGCGGTAGACGTTGTAAATACTCTCCGAGCCCCTAGAATGAATAACTAACATAGCATAAAGACAAAAAGCAAAAGTTAAAACAGGATGACGAGGAATGAACATGGTAAGGTGAGTTGGTATGGGTGAAAGGTAGTTCCCCCTCAAATATCAGAAAAAATGCAGCACATGAATGATATAAAGGGAAAAAGGGGGGCGTGACATTGCGAATAACGGAAAAATGAAACAAGGGTGTATATGATAAGAGGAAAAAGGGAAACGAAGGGGGTAATGAATGGGTGACATTAAGTATAGCAATGCAGATTAACTCGACATGGCCTGCTTTGAAACCGTCCAAAATGTACCATGGATGATTGCCCAAACGAAGTAAAGGGTAAGCTAGGTAAGTAAGAGATGTTAAAAAAAAGGGGGAAATGATGGTGCATTTTGCGTAATGGGGAATAATAGTCGTGAACGTTGAAAGCAATGAATCGGGAATAAAACACATGGGATCGTATTAAATGGATGGGGATGCCGTGCAGGATATAACAAACGAGAAACAAAAAGAGAAAATGACGTAGACGCTGCTATGATTGGGAATGGATCGGGCTATAGCGTGTGGATGCTTCTTTTCTTGCTAACCCGCGGTCTATCGGTATGAATTTTCGATCGAGACATAGTGGATTTCATGGGCTGGATGTATGGCTGGCCATGTGCCAGCTTTAGCTTCTCCATGAGTTTACCTATGATCTGGTAGTCAGATACTGCCAGCTCCATTGATTGGTTTTTGAAATAATTAAGGACCAGCTCTAGTGCTTGGCGAGCTTCATCCTGCGTCGGGGTGGTGGTAGGAGAAATTGCTGGAGAGGATATGCTCTTTGATTTTGGGAGTGGTGGTGGCTGCATGGGAGTTACGTTGGAGATGATTTCCGGATTGCTGCGATTCCTCTTCATTGCAGGTGCGTCTATGGATTCAGAAGGATCTTCTTCTTCGATGACTCCGGGCTGTGTGAATATGTTCGTTGGCGAGAGGCTTTCTGGGGATTCGTCCTTGACCACGGAGGATCCAGATGTCATCACTGGCAGGGTCTGGCTTCGTCTTCGCTTTGATTCTAGCCCCAGGCCCGTATTTTCGGACGGTGCAAAGGGGTTCTGCGAGGAGAAGATTATTGTTGACTCGCTTGTTGCTCTGGCAAGAGTAGGAGTTGCAATGGGGGTTCCCTCCTGAGGCAGAGAAACACCAAAGACATCGTCACTGCATTCATTGACAAGGTCCCCTTCCTGTACTGACCCGGACTGCGTGGGAGATGTGGGAGAAGGTGTAGTGGTTGAGCTAGGAGAAATGGGAGACAGTTGCGTGGGTGTCCGGATGGTGGATCTCTTCCTTGGACTGGTTATGTCAAGTGAGGATTTCCTGCCAGGGGAGTTCACGATGTAGTTTTTCTGCTTGAACTTCTCCAGCCAGCTTGATGTCAGAATCTTCTCGTGGCCTTCAGGGCTTCCCACGGTGCTTGCAAAAAACATGGCCTTCTCTCTAATCAGGGCATCGTTGATCTCTCCGCCCTGACGCTGGTGGTTCTTTACCCAGTTTGACAGGGCCCGTTCAATGTCTGGGAATTTCCCCTTCGTCTTCTTAACGGGTGATCGACGGCCATCATCAGGAAAGAGATACTTTTCCTTTTGGCGGAGTACTTTGGAAACGGTACTGTAGAAGTAAAGATAGTTAGACAATGTACCTTATTAACCAACCCCAACATACGAGCCACCAGCATACCTTCGTTCAACACCAAACATAGCTATTGGTTTCCAGTTAGCTTATCCGCAATAACAATAATAAAACAAACATAAGGTAAGAAAGAAAGAAAAAAAAAAAGGTAACTCACCTCCAATTTCAGTCTGCTTAACATGGGGATTCTCTTGATGATACAAGCACATACGTCGGCGCTCAGCGTCAGTCAAAGTTCTTCGTGGAGTGGGCGGCGTCGACAGCTGTGGCGCCTGAACATGCTGTATTTGCGGCGGAATAGGAGTCATTGGCATCGGCGCAACTGGCATTGGCGCAAAACCGGGCTGCGTAGACAGCATGCTCGGCCATTGAGAGGACATGGTGAGCGGGATCAGGTGTTGTGTCGTATATGGCTGAGGCATGGACATGCTATATGCCGGTTCAATTGGCATGATGGGCGATGAGCCAAATTGAAACCCAGTGAAGTCCGTCAACTGATGGTGCTGAGTAGCCGCATATCCTCCCATGTCAACCCACTGCGAGCTGACGAAGTCATGGTCTTGCAGTGGCGGGGTTTCTGTATCCATGGTGGCCAGACTTGATACTTTTCTTCTCTGATAAATATAATTCGAACTAGCACAAGATGGCGCCAGTAGTTCTCTGAAGAAAAGTAAAAGGCGGGGAGGGGGGAAGCAGACTGTATGTATAGATAGGAATGATAGATAGATAAAGCAGGCGCCTTAAAAGCTGCTTGCTTGAGGCGCACTGCCGACAAGGGGGAATTTCACAATGCAGTTAGGTGGGACCTCTTGAGGAAAGTCAGTCGACAGCACATGGCATGGCGCGGCGCCAGTTGAGACAAGGAGCGAGGGAGGTAGGGGACCCGAAATGAAAACGATAACGAGTATGTCCTAGTAGCCGCCGTCCTGATATCGATTAACGAAAAGAGAAGGGCAAGGTGGGTGAAAGGAGAGGCTATGGGGTAAAAAAATCCAAGAGACCCCAGGGCCGGACGATGCAAAGTATGTAAGTAATAATGTAAATGTATATAGGCAGAGTTCGATAGACAGGTACTTGAGATGAGAGGAAGAGTAAAAGAAAAAAAAAAAAAAAAGGGCAGGTAAAGAAAAAAGAAGTCTAGCCCAGCCTGGCTGCAGGAGTTCGAGGCTTCTTTCTTTTTCTTATTCCTGCTCACCCTCTCTCTCTTTCTCTCTCTCAGAGAATGACTGTCTGTCTGTCGGTCCGTTTGACTGACCTGACGGATGGTCCTTTTTTTGCTTTTCGAGTGAAATTTTTTATCTCGAGTGCCTTGCTTTTGCGGTTGTTGGGGCCGGAGGCGGGTATATTATGTAGGTTGCTATTAGTCGGGCGGATGCAGGCATATGTCTGTCTACTCCGTACATCAAGGGAGTCAGGAGGGGGCAACAGAGGAAGTCAAATGCAGGACCCGACAGTGACAGGGAATCGACCTCTGCTTTTAGTTTAGGGTTGCATAAGAAAGACGGTTGAGCTAGCACAGGAAAGAGTTTAGCCACCGCCAATCGAGGGCAGGGATGGGCTGGAGAAGGGCAGGGAAGCCCAAGCAGCGAGAAGCCAGGAGCCAGGAGGGAGCCAGAAAGGGGGGTGATAGGCCTTTCTCCGGGATAGCCGGGTTATAATGATGGAGTGTTCTGACGACGTTCCGGGGATGGACCTGTACAACAGGGGGGCTGGCAGGGAGCAGAGAGGGAGAAGAAAGAGGCAGGCAGCGAGATATCTCAGGCATCACTCCAGGAAGATCTCCTTCCGTGGCCACAGCGGCCGGGCTGGGCTGCGCAGACGGAGTATTAAGTAGTCCAGGACTCCCCTTGAACAGCTCTCCCCATCTCTGCTCGGGGGACAGCCACAAACGAGCATCGTCCAGCAGGCCTGGCAAATCGCAGGCGGGAGCCCACAACCATTCTTGGAGGACATCACCAGATTTGATTATACGGAGGATAAATGCCCAAGAGGAAAAGAAAAGAAAGCACAAGAGAAAAAAAAGGAAAATAGCAAAATAGAAGAGTGCAAAAAGGCGTGCGATTGGGGGGGGGTGAGGGGGGGGGAAACGGCTGTAATGGGCTAAACAGTCGGGTATCAAATATTGAAAGTCGATGACGCCGTAACGCAGCGCCGTATCCTGTTCGATACGGCCATACGGCCATGACGGAGCCTGTAATCACGATACGGCGGTAACTAAGTAAAGCATGTAAGCATGTAAGTATGGATATACTCCATAGCTCGCGGCGGGCGGGCGAGGAGATGGACAGAAGGGAGAAAGATATAAATAACGGGACTAGGCCGGCGGGCGAGGGTTGTCAGCGAGTGTTAGCTAGTCAACAGGTAAATAATAGTTCGTTTCGTGGCAGCCACGAGCCAAACCTTGATCAGAGATCTAGCCATGGCTCGCTGACTGACGTTTTATTAACCATTAACTAGTTCGTTGGTTACGGGGTAGTTGGCTGGTTAGAGCCAGCAATGGGCAAAGGGATGCGCGGAGGAATGTTGCGGGTTGATAGCGGGCGGCGTACGGGGGAAAGATAGGCTAAGTAGGAGCTTGCGGGTTGGTTAGTTAGTTATCGTGACATGGTGAAGAAGCAACGGTTAGCTAGTTAGCTGCTGAGTTACTGGATAAAGAGCTGTCCCGCTTCATGTCAATCCTTCCTGTCGATGCTGCTGGGTGACTGGCCATCAGCCGGTTGACTGAATCAAGATGCTTGCTTTGACGGCCGATAGGCTGTGGTCGTCAGGTAAGGGGGCTCAGTTTATCAAAAAAAGAATACGCCCTTTGACTTGACCAACCCCCTCCCCCTTTACTCCATACAGTACAGTCCGCAAAGAGAGGTCATCTGGCTGCTTCTTTGGGGCAGCAGCTTCAGCTTCAGCTAACCATCGCCAGCCCAATAGCAGCAGTTCAAGGGACATCGGACGGGGCTTTTCCTAACAGCGGCAACCGTGGCGCAAACAGCAGACCGCAGAGCATTCTCAGCGTTGCGCACAGCATATATAACTCGATTTCCTAATGCTTATGGCATCCAAGGATCTGGGGAAACATATTGAACTTTCGCATGGGGCTGGTTCCTGTTCCCGTTCCTGTTCCTGTTCCTGTTTGTCTCTCCTTGTTCCTGATCCGGATCCTTTATCCTTATCCTGATTCCGGTTTACTTCTTTGCTTCTTTCTCCGTCATCTATAAGCGACGATTGCCCTGACTGTTGAGCCCTAATATGCTATGCATGGTTTTAGGCCACACTGATCGTCCGCGTGGTGCTTTTGCCCCAGTTGATGCAATTTTAGCTGCTCTGCTTTTTAACCAGTTAACTAGTTGGTTGAACAGATGGACCTTGAGGCGAGCTGGCCTGCCCGGTTGATCGCAGACCCTGGAGGTATGTATGTACGTAACTAAACACTGTTATGTCGTTAGTGTTCTTTTCTTTTTTGCATTATAGCGTACGGGATGGTTAAGCCTACCTTTTTATTTTTATTTTTTGGTTCATATTCTGTCCGGCTTTAAAATGTACTTTGTTACGTGCGTAGTGGGAGGCTGGTTGCGGAGGAAGAAGCTCCAGGAGATACGTATCTATCATCATCCTCTTCCTTCCACCAAGCAACGACCGCTTGATACCTCCAAAGTGTGCTCCGTAGCTGTATCTACCTGCTCGATAGACAGCCTGCTCCTACAAACTCTTCCGACTTGTTGTGACCTGTACTGTGTACTTATCATCCCTGAAGGGCAAGGGGGCTGGAGAGCAGAAGTTTTCCCCCCTTTCCTTTCTTTTCTCATCCCTTGCTCAGGTTCCTGAATTCCGCACAATGTCAGGGCAGCAGACAGGGGGCCTTGTATACAGAGAGACGATGTATGGACAGACCAGCAGAGAGTGAGCAGCGAGCCAGCGAGGGACCCCGGGGAGGATTTCTCCACCGTCTGCCAGCCAGCCTTAAGCTATGCCCGTTCTTTTTTTTTTTTTTCTTTTTTTTTTTTTCACCTTTCAATTTGCTTCTTCGCTCTGTATTTTTGCATTTCATCAAGGCCACTTTTTTTTTATCAGTTGGCTTAGCGGTGTTTCGTTGCTTTTTCGTCTCTTTTTTTTAAGCAGTTGGTTTGCATATGCGGATATCTCCAGACTCCGTGCGAGACGCCTAGTCAGAGTACGGAGTAGCAGCGGCGGCAGCAGCAGCAGCAGCAAAGCAAGTACGCGCTGCCCACTTTGCATGTGACATGCTAAGAGTATTTAGCTAGCAAGAGCCTGGCCGATGACGACAGAGACGAGCATGGCATGCGTCGAGGGCTTGAAGATATCGCCTCTACCAATCTCTTCTGCGCAGAGGCAGAGGGCCAGGAGAAGCGCTGTCCACGGGACACAGACGAGCTAATAGAGAGGAGGGAGGACTGCTTCCTCCCTTTCTTTTCTTCTTCCTCCTCGTCGACTCAGGGAGAGGGACGCCCTCCAAGGGGTCTTTTAGTCTTTCTTCTAGAGCCCGGAAAGAACAAGGAGATAAGCGAGGGTCGCACATCTCAAAAAGAAGAGCGACCAAAAGAGGGAGGCGGCCGGGATGGTGGATGAAGGAGAAACACGACTCGGGCATCCGATCTCGAACCACCGATCAGCATATTTTTAATACACGCACAGGATACTTACTACTAGTTAGTTAGATGGAAAAGATGCGCTGCTGGTCGACTAACTAACTATGTGGGGCCGAGGGGCAGCGGGCTTGTTCAATTGAACGGCTGGTTATACGCTCGCTGCTGGCGTTGTGGTTTAAGTAGTTGTCTCTCAAAGGGGGGGGGGAGCCCATTAGATGCTCTGTCATTATTGTCATCGACAAGCTGCTATCATGGCCCGCCAGAGTATCTATCCCTTGTCCCATGCGGCCAGAAGACGTACTATTGCTCCGAGTTCCATCCATGACTCCCGAGCGTATACTTACTACTACTGGTAGTCCACAGTAGAAACTTCGTTATATAGTCGAAACTCAGTAGTGCAGGAAGGTTTCCAGGCGGCAATCATCCCCCTCCCTGACTTTGCCCAACCAACCCCCTCGTTCAAGTTTCCTTTCCTTTCGGGGTTCATGGCAATTAGGCGGGATCTAAAGGCTATGCATGTTGGTGGCGTGGAGAGGATTAGCGGTGCAGGAGGAGTTATGTAAGAGTACTTCGGTAGCGTAGTTACTTTTCTGGAGCTGGAAGCCGAGCCTTCGCACGAGGAAACAGAGCGAGAGAAGGAGATGCAGCCAGTGGTTAGTGTAGTAGGGATAGGAAGTCTGCGGTATCAGAAGGGGTTAGGGGGGGTAGGCCACTGGGCGGGTTTCGGGAAATCCACCCAACGGTCAAGAGCATGGCATCAATTGGGCGTGACCCGGAGATGAGATGCTGTCATGTGTGCGTTGGAGATGTGTATATAGATCTCCCTAAGATCAACAGCAGCAACCGTGACTGGATGCCGCCTGGCTAAGCTTATAAGCTAGAGAGAAGGGAGGCCGTCAGGAGGCCATCTCTGTTAACGGCAGGTTAACGTCCGTCCAGTAGCCGGTGATGTCATTCCAAGACGCAGAGTGAGTATTGGTTCCTCATGCTTAATATCGTCTTGTAATGGGCAGTTCCTCAGGCATTACCCAAAAAGGGGGGTTGTTGACAGACAGCCCCAGCCAGGAACCCCCTACACCCACCACACCACGCACCAGAATATCCTGAGAGACGAGGTTAGCGCCCTGTACTGAAGAAGCATGAAGAAGCATGACGAAGGGTCAAGGAAGAGAGATGGAGTGGTAGTATACTTCGCCTGAGTGGTACACGGCAGCCAGAGGAGGAGTTTGATACGAACCACCGGAAGCGTACCACAGGCGGTGACGATACTCTGCCCACCCGTATCCCTTCCCTTCCAAGATCAAGTAAGAGTAACTTACTTGCTGTGCATGATAATTAAGCTACCGCAGTACGCAGTAGTTTAGTGCGGAGAAGCCGCGCTCCGTCGTATATCCTCGAGCTGGTTGCAGCGCCTCCTGATTGGGCTGCAATGCAGAATATTCCTCTCCCCAGCTGGCTGCTGGTGGTATTCTCTTGTGTCCATGGCCGGGGGTGGGAAAGAGGGATATCGCCGCCCACATCCGTACCTGGTATGAACATCTCGGCTGCATGGCCAGGGAACAAGGCTCTAAGCATGTTCGCCATACAGAGATGGAGGAGGCATGGGGGAGTCCTCTTTTCCTCCGTCGCTAGTGAGTTATACCAGCGTGTATTGAAACATTACTCGCAGGTTTGGCTCACACTACTCTGCGGTGGCTTGCCCTGAGAGAGGCCGCATAGAATAACTTCAAGAAGTTAGTTGGTTAACCCACTCGGTAGATGCAGAGAAGCCATTCCTCGTGTGAGCAGAGTAGAAGAAAGCCCTTCGAGATGATCAGTAATCCTCTTGTAAGCACTAGCTGGGGGCCTTTTCCGGTCTGTAAAGGGGCTGATAGTTATGGCTTCAGGCCATCGACATCAAGGGAGACGGCCAGCTCTCTCCACAGCCTCTGCCTTTCGTCCCTTTGTCTTTCCTATCATCGTCGTCTCTGCCTTCTGTATAGTCCCGTTTTCGCTAACTCTCCTCCAGCGTCGTATGAAGGTCGTACTCCCGTACAGGGCCCCATCCCAGTCATCTCGCGTGGTAGAAAGAGAAAAAAACAACAGGGAAGAAGGGGGGGGGAAAGGCCTCTCAACAACTGCAACGCAGTATGAATACAAGATGCATACTTAGGTAGTTACTTGAGAGAAGAAGAAAAAAAAAAGCACCCCTCCCCTTGTACAGGCCTCGGAAGTGGGTTTCTACCGCCGCGGCAACCTCGAGCCTCTCGTTCGTTTTGCTGCTCACTTCAACCCCCTGGTCGTCGTCCTTCTCCTGATCCGACAAGACGTCAACTTACATACCAAAACTCGAATGTGGAGGGTCATATAAGTCGCATCCCGGCCCTTAACGAATATTAACTATACATAGTATGTCCTCCGTCCCAGCCTTGCTTCCCATCGACCGATTTGGCAAACGGAAGGGGGACAGGAGTCGATTTGATGCCTCTCATGCCCTTTTTTCCGCACTATCCTTCTTCTCTTTTTCGCCTCCCCCCCCCCCAGTAAAAAAAGAGCCACATTGTATACAAGACTTGTCTGATTCCTGGCGACTTTCAAGCCAATCCCGACAATGCGGGAAGTAAAATAGCAGATGGAGTAGGTGTTGGCTTTTGTCTGCACCTTGCTGGCCCTTCTTTTCATTGTCCAACCCGCAGCCCCCCTTTTTTTCCCCTGAACTTGCAACCAACATTTTGATATCGTCTCCGATTTGCTTCCCACGGAGCATGGTAAGGGAGCTTGGACGGTAATCAAGCTTGGCCCACGGAGAAGAAGAAGAAGAAGAAGAAGAAGCAAAGAGAGGACGAGCAGAGAGAAGACGAAGGGAAGACAGCACAAGAGGGAAGAAGAAACGGTGCATAAAAGGAGGAACACTGCATCATATAGCCATTAAATCATTCCGCGGTCTTCTTCGAGAACCCTTGCAACTCACCAGCATCTCGCAGTGCGTAACTCGACTTGACCGCGTCCTGATGGTACGATGCCTGCTTCGTTCGCTCTCTCGGCGTACATGCGTGCATGCATACATTACTCAAGAAGTCGACTAGTCGGGACACTCTGTAGCTCAAGCGTTCACCTGCTCGCTGCCCGTCCCCCCTTGCTCCGCTCCACCAGCGGCAGGCGGAATATCCGCCGATTGACCATGCACCAAAACCTGGTAACGAAGCCCCTTAGCCTCCCTTTTTATTATTATTATTATTATTATAGACATACATATACATAATCGCAGCGGGTAGATACCTGGTCATCGCTTCCAACTTCTTATATTATACGAGTCAAGAAACGGCCGGTTCTCCCCTCGTTCTGATATAGATTCAGCTACTCAAGCTAATATCGTACATACACCGCCAGGATCTCTCCCGTCTCGACCTGCTCAAAGTGGACTGGATGCATGTCCATCTTTTTTTACTTACAACCCTTTTCTCTTCTCTTTTTTGCTGTCCTTTGTCCCGGCTGCTTTCATTGAGATCTGGTATGCGCATGCCGACGGGGAGCTGGACAGCTACGATATATGCTATGCACAGTGACATGCGTCGCGTATGTCTGTACACGGGTAAATCCTGTGGATGATGTCTGGACATGATGTTGATCTGCTAGGATGACAGACCATCTCGATATTGGTACTCGGTACAAGATGGCATATTACATCGCATCATGTACCTAGCCGGCTGATTTACAAGCAAAAGACAGCGGAGGGAGTACTTTGTGCTCGGTACCACCTGCGCCTGCGTCGCCGATACCCATCTCAAGCCTTTTTTCTACAACCAGGACAACCTGATATATCGAGATGGCTCCTCTCATCTCTTTTTTCCTGCCTTTCTTTCTTTCTTTTTCTTCCCTCGCCTGGTCTGTTCTTTGTCGGGGATCGACTTCTAGTCCGATTCTGCAGGCTTAAAACCAGGGATCGACGCTGGACGTGAAATGTGCACTGTCTCGATTGGAGCTGGTTCTCGGTTCTTCAGCATCCCATCTCATCCTCTTGATGCTTGATGCCGTACGGAGCATACTTTGTTCTTCTTCTTTTCAAGCGATCAAACGGCCATGTGAGATGGACGTCGGTGGCGATGTTCACCGCTCTATCAACACGGCCTCCTCTCGCTACGCATTCATTCCATACGAGCTTTGTTACGGCTGCCAAGGGTAGCTCAAGAGGAATGTAGTAGAAGACGATATACCTGCATGCCGAATGTTATCCTGCTGAAAAGAAAAGAAAAGAAAAGAAAAAAACGAGCATAGACAGTTGCCAAAATCGGGTTGTCAAGTCTATCTCCTTCTTTTCTTCTTCCGCTTCCTCTCATCCCCTAATTTTCATGGCGTCCTGCGTACTAGCGAGAGAAAGGAAAAAGAGAAGAGACTGAAGCAAAGCCTCCCTGAAGAAAGATGTGAAAAAAAAGGAACGTTCGATGCCTTTTTTTATTTCTGGCTGCTTTCTTTTTTCGCCCTACACATCCGCCGTCTTGATAGCTAGCTAGCTCGCTGGTTGTGTGCGTGTTTTGGTCACCCAGAAGATGCCTCTTCCAACCCGCCCGGGGAATCAGTCGCCATCACCATCCTCATCCCCCCGTCTCACTCCACAGCCATCAAGCTCAGCATGGGCGGGTCACACAAAGAACCCCCAGATTGATGGGCTGCAGATCCATGGTCCTCCTCGACGGGTTGCGTCCCTTCGGTTCGTTTGCCTTGGTTGACAGCGATTGCTGTAAGACAAAGACATGCTTATTACCCTGATTATTATTGCTAATATCATTGTTTTGGCTCTTATACTGCTTTGTCCTTGTCTGGTGGATGGCTGTCTGGCTGACATGTCACACACACGTTGCAATCTAGGAGGGTATATAGCGTCCAGTTAATCTAAAGACGGTTTAAACCCCGATCAAACCTGGAACTGGATAATGGTTTATGCTGGCTGGAATGCACTATTTTGCCTTTTAGCGGCTGCAATAGCAATCTTTATTTTTATTTATTTTGCTCACCGGGCTCTCTCGGGGGATTTTTATGATGGCCTAATCGGGATAGGTCATACACGATACGCCAAAGAAGGGGGTGCTGGCGGATGCTCTGATGGTAGCGGCTATCTGCAATATTGGCCTTGGTGGTTATACCGATGATCTCAACGGCGAAATCATGTCTGCCCCGTGTCCTGTCTGTGTATCTGTATGATCGTCAAGCTTAGTCTATTCTTCCCTCCTGGAGCTGCCTGCTGCCTTTCCCCGGTAGATGTCATCCGAAGACGTTGTAAAGGGCAAAAAGAGCATAACATAACTTAGCATTATCACAGCCATGATATATCCTCGCACACACGCACACACACCTCCATCCCCAGCTTAAACGCCGCTTTCTTCAGCCGGCGGATGCTTTGCTGTTCTTTTTGCCTCCCCTTTTCCTAAACCTTGGGCTATCGCTCTAACCACTGAACTATCGCGCTCATCTATCTGCGGGATGCTGTCTTGCCTTGACTTTCCTATCTGGCCATGGACTGAGATTGACCATTATCTCTTTTCTGCATAATCCGTTTGATACCAAGCCCTCTTTTCTTTTGGTTGGTCCTTGGATGTTTGACATTTTGAGGTTTCGAAATCTCCAGTTTCAAACAGAGTGAGATAGATCTCTGGGCTCTTACATGCTGACTTCGCCCCCTTAACTACCAACCAGATATCCCCGTACAATGTAAACACCACACAACACTCACACACTCACACACTCGCTCGCTCACTCACACTCGCCCTTGTCTCTCTATTCTGCAGTGTATGTGCAACGGTAGTATTTATTATCATCCCAACCAGGACCATGGAACGGTTCATGATTGGGAAGCACTGATTTTTTTCTCCTTTCCCCCGGTGATTGGGTGGGATACAAGTGTTTCAATATTCATCCTCCCTGTCCCAGGTCATTAGTTATTAACTAGAGCGTCAGCGGCAATTCGACGTTGGAACACCTTATCGGGACGGTAAGGAACCAGATAGCGCCGCAGGGACAGGGAGAGATGATATATACATTTTACTTGCTTAGACACGTTCGATCGTCTGATAAGTCCCCTGTGCATGGATATGGATATGGATATGGATACCCGACTGCGGCCTCGGGCTGAAACCCCCTGCCTGGCCTTACCCGAGAGTCTCCGTATCAGATAACCATCTGCTCCAGACCTGACTGGCACAGCAAGCCGGAACGATTTCGTGTCCAGGCCAGAGCTTCGAGCCATCATAGACTATCAAATGTACTCTTCATGCAGGCTTCCGGGTTGCGCGGCAGGGGCAAAGATACACGTACATTTATACAAATACGCACACATGCAGCACGCAAGACACAAGACACAAGACACCAAGACAATTTAAAAAAAAGGGGGGAGGGCGTCGAGAGGAATCCTTATCCTGCATGCGCACATAGTGAGCAGACGAGCAAGGGCCAAGGATTACAGGGCCAAACCTCTGTCTTGCATCATTGCCCATGCGAGATGCGAAGCATGCATACACTACATAGCCCTGGCATAGCCTACTACAAATGCAATTATTGGATTATGACGACCATTTCATTTCCATCTGGGGGTGGCTTATCAACTCGAGCACGGTTGGGGGATTGGAATGAAGGGGAACAAACGGAACTGTTCTTAAGTTTTTTGGATATATTGTCTCGAGACCGCTTTATGAATTCTCGTTTGCAAAAATAGGAACTAAATATCCAAATGTATGATTAATCGGTCTCGACGAGGCGGGCGGAGGGGATGATGATGATGAGGATAAGGAAAAATAGAGTAATGTATTGCGATTGACTTTCGTGAGATGGTTGCCAAATTTCAGCATGAGCAGAAACAGACAAATGAATAACTAACTGTGTTTTGCGTGCTATTGTAAGAGTTTTTTGCTAAAATTCAGTCTTTTCCATGGCCTGGTAATTTTTTTTTGGGCTGCGCAACCTTGCCTCCCCAACACCACACCCCCTATTTCCTTTCTGCCTAACTAAACAGTTAATATTGATAGCAGGATTCCAATTCATCAATCATTTCCACAAGAGTGCATTGCATCGGTTGCGTCTGCTGCTGTCGTTTTCGCCTCCCTTCTTCTTCCACCTCTCTCACCTTTAACCTCCCCCTCTTACATACATTCCTTGTCTTGAAAAAGCATATTTTCTCAAGACCAAGGAAGGCATATAATTCAATTCCACTCCTCCTGAACACGTCATCCCGTATACCCTGTCAGCTATCAGGTTCAAGACCATGTTCTGGAGTCGCAGTTCAAGGTAAACTGGATAGCTGTGTGGAACATCCCAGCTCCACGGGCATGGATGACCCAGGAAAAGAGTTATAGGGAACCCAGTTCCTTAAAGTATACATGCATTTATCGTTTGACGATTGTTACTAATGATTAAGGTATGTTAGTAAAACAAAATGATATGCATGAAAAGATGGGAACTACGGAACGGAACGGGCATGGCCCACTTACTTATGTCTTCGTCCGCGAGTTCGTGGCTCAATCCGACTCGTTGTGGTTGATGTTTGACGGAACGACCGTAAACGATGGCATGCTTGAAGGAATCAACGATGGATTTGTGGATAGAATTGCACTATTATCAGGTTAATAACGAAAATAACCCGGGAGAAGGAGGAGGAAGACGGGACGTACGAAATCTTCGACAGTACAAGCCGTGCTTCTCAAGACCACTGGTTCGTTATAATCTGGATTCTTGCCCTTGGGCTTGGTATAGACTCTTCGCAGGTTGAGCTTCTCCCACATCAGCTCGAGGAGTTCGTCGATATTCCATCCTCTCTCCGAGCTGATGGGACAAGCGTTGGGGATACGGTATAGTAGATCCAGCTCCTCGATTGAAATGGCATCAATCTTATTCAAGGCGTAAATCACAGGTATATAAGAACGGCTTCGGGCCTCAAGAACATCAATCAAGTCGTCAATCGTGGCGTCGCAGCGGATTGCTATATCTGCCGAAGAGATTTTGTATTCGTTCATAACCGCTTTGATCTCCTATACATCTGGTGAGATACTGTCTTTGATGAATTGCCGGGGAGAAAAGCCGGGCAAAAAAAAAAAAATGACTAGAGAATTCAACATACGCTGTGATCGATATGGGTCAGGGGTACGGTGTTTGTGATGGCAATGCCGCCCTTATCTTTCTTCTTGAAGATAATGTTCGGAGGCTCCTTGTTGATCCTTATGCCGAATCCTTCTAATTCGTTCTCGATGATCTTCTTGTCCGTCAAGGGCTTGTTCACGTCTAGAACGATGAAGATAAGATGACACGTTTTGGCAACGGCAATGACCTGTCTTCCTCGACCTTTGCCGTCCTTGGCACCTTGGATGATTCCAGGAAGGTCAAGCATCTGGATCTTCGCACCGTTATATAGGACTTGGCCGGGGACGGTAGTAAGGGTTGTGAATTCGTATGCGGCAGCTGTGTGATGTACGTATCAGCACAGGGATGTGTCAATTGATAAAGGGGTATAACTCTTAGATCGACCCAGACATACCCTCAGAATGTTGCCCCGTTAGCTTGCTCATGAGCGTACTCTTACCCACGGATGGGAATCCAATAAAGCCGCTGAGCACGTTAGCTAAACACGCCCAATTCAACCAGTTAAAGTACCTGAAGCGTGGGAAAAACATACACACTGGCAACACCGGTACGCGCAACATCGAAACCAGCTGTGAACAATCATATCAGCCCTATTGTCCTAATGCGTATCCATTTTTTTTATACCCGTGTAGGTGTGCGCCAAAGCATACCTCCACCTCCACCACCTCCGCCGCTCGGAGTGAGCAGTTCACGCTTTAGCTTCGCAAGCTTAGCTTTCAATTGACCTATATTCCACTGTTAGATCCATGACACGCCCTGGTAGAAGGCTGTTCCAGATCATACCCAAATGAAACGAGGTGGCTTTATTCTTTTGGGTTTTGGCCATCTATATAATGATAAGGGCATTGTTAAAACATGCGCGAAACGTTGCGGGTAGGTAAAAATAAACGACTTCGGAAGGGTACCGACTTCGGCCTCAATCTCCCTAATCTATAACAGCGGAAACAAGACGACATGGTTAGCTATATCTCGTTCATGGGTGTGTTATGGGATTAATTGATAGCGAACCTTGTCCACTGTGGTCGACATGATTGCGGTGGTCTGCCGGATACGGGGAAACGCTGCAACAACCGAAAAAAAAAAAAAAAGGGGGGGGAGAAGATAGAGAAATAAATTAATGCAAAATAGCTAACGCTACGCTGGCAGGACGGAAGATAGGATCGCGCGAGGGCTGTAGTTTTGCGCAGTTATATGTTCAACAAATTGGCAGCGGGGGAGTTTTAACAATCTATCCCATTGCTATGAATTCAAATTCACTGAGAAAAAAAAAAGTAACAGGCGGCTTATCCACGGCTTACCTAATCAAACCTTGACCTTATCTCGGAGTTTAAGTTTATCCGTCTACGGCTTATGTCACGTGACTTGTTCATGTGACCCGGTCTGAGCCCTCCGTGCGTTTTTCGGCGCCCGGGAATATCCGTAGAGGGCGCGCAGCAACGGGATTGGTCGGAGGGACCCGAAACCGCCAAAGTGGCGTGGAGTCAAAAGGGAAAAAGGATGAAACTACGACTGCGGCCACTAACAAGTCTGTTCCCCCAAGGTGCGAAAGGGATAAGAGAAGAAACCCCCGTGAACTCAGGACAGGTTTCCCATCCACTTCCCCCCCCCCCTAAAAGACCATCCAAACACCCTTCCTAAAGAGACAGCTGTATATATCTTGCCATCATTACTCTTCTATTCTTCCAGTCGGCAGCCACCTACCCTTTGCCGAGAGCCATCACACACTCACACCAACAACCCAGCCAAGTCTGCATCACCGAGGGTGAAGAAAACTGTTGAGATCCATCGAGTCATCATGCCATTCATCGAAAACCAGGCCACAACGGCAGAACCCATCGTCCCAGTGGACGTCAAGGGGAAAGATGCCTTCCATAAGCTAGTAGACGACCTCAGTGCCGTCCTTGGACCGTCGTCGGGCCTTGACTCCGACGACGTAGACCCCATGGACATCCAGAAGTTGATGGAGGGATACGTATCGAACCACGAGGAGTGGCAGCGATATGCGTTGGCCGATGAGTCCCGAGCCTATACCAGAAACCTCGTAGATGAGGGCAACGGCAAGAGTAACTTGGTAAGTCAAAGAAGTGGCCAGCCAGCGTCGTTGGAACCCAAGAGTCCTAGGAGTCTGTGGTGCGAAGAGAACAGGAAGACCATCTAGCTAACATGGCAAAATTGAATGCAGCTCATCCTCGTCTGGAACCCGGGCAAGTCCAGTCCAATCCACGACCATGCTAACGCTCATTGTGTAATGAAGGTAGAGTATTGACCCTTTCTTTTTCTTTGCTTTCCCGTTGGGAGAGCAAAGTCGAAAGAGCAAAGCCAAAGAAGAAAAGAGATGAAGAGATGGAGAAGAGAGAGAGAGCAAAAGAGCCCACCGTAGCTGATCGTTATCTCTGTCCCTGATGTAGATCCTGCATGGTTCGTTAAAAGAGCACAGATACGACTGGCCAGAGCAGGACAAAATCAACAACGGCGAAGCCTGCCCCCTGACAGTCACCAAGGAGACCACCCTTCGGGAGAACGAAGTGGCATACATGTCCGATAAGGTAAGTTTACCTCTCTCTTGTATGTGTGTGTGTATCCGGAAGCGGATGCTGGCTTGGTTTGCATGGCTGACATTGAATATCCAGCTTGGCCTGCATAAGATCTCAAACCCGGATCCAAATGACTTTGCCATCTCTCTGCACTGTAAGTAGCATGAGTATTATGGTCCAGACGAGGCCTACCTCTTTTTGCTAGTGCTTTCTGTCTTTGCTGACATCCGGCACCCAGTGTATACTCCTCCAAACGCAGCCCACTTTGGCTGTTCTCTGTTTGATGAGAAGACAGGCAAGTCTCATCACATCAAGCAGTGTACCTTCTTCTCCAACCGGGGCTTGAAGCTGTAGAGAAGGCTTTGAAGCACGATCAGTAGATGGAAGATGGGGATGACCTCCCATTCCCTGACTGAGCCCCAAGTATCAGCGTGGTTGAAGAGCCCGAAGCTATACCCTCAACCTCGCCTGGCAGCCCATCCCATCATCCCAGGGCTGCTGTCTGTTGCCTGCATTTCATGTCATGACCCAACTCTCTCCCCCAGCGTAATGATTGTGCCTTTATTGTGCTTTTTTTCCTGTACCTTTTCCCATTTTGGGTGATATCCCTCCCTGGTGTTCTTCAGCCTGCTGTCCCTTTTCCACAGAGCAAGACTGGTGATAGAAAGAAAGAAAGAAAGAAGAAGAAGAGAAGGTGAAGATGGAGACGGAGGGAGTCTTTTTTTTTTCTGTGCGAGCCATGTTCTCATGGCCGTCCGTCTTTTCTTATATGTGACCACCCCCAAGCCTCTGCCTGCCCTCCTGCTCCTCCGCAAGCCTCCCTTAGTGAGTGCGAGTGGCGGACCCGCGCGAGCACGCCATCCCAGCTGCTCCTGATAGGCCTGTTTCAACAACACTAGACCTGCTTAGGCAATCCAGTGCCGTTTTTAGCGAAGCGCCTCCCCTGGTTTCCCTTGCCGCTTTTCCTTCTGCTGACTCATCATGTACATACCTCGCTTTCTCTCTCTCGCCCCTTCAGCCTCTGCCTCTGCCTCTGTATACTCGTTTCCTCTCTTCCTATTCCTATTACTATTACTATTACTATCTAGCTAGTTATATGCATATATATATATATCTCCTCTCAAGCTTCTCTGCTTCTCTGCTTCTCTGCCTTTAGTTTCTGCGTGTACTCCGTAGTGAACTTGAAAGCCGACATGTTTTGTCAGCTGCGACTTTGTAAGCAATGGATGACTTTTTGTCCGAAGGATTCGGCGTCTAACCTCCCGGCCGATAAACAAGTAACAAGCTACGGAGTACTTACAACTCCGTAAGGAGTATGTATGTACCTCAAAGACAGTATAAGACCGCAAGACACCAAGGGCAGGCCTCGCTGATAGCCTGGTGCAGATATACCCCGATGAAACAGCATCCTCGCGGCCATGGATACAAGTGTTTCTCGTTCCCGCTACTTTAAGAGGCATAACCAAGACACGCACTGCTGCTGCTTACCCTCCCCCATTCAAGGGCGTGGGATACATGTCTAAGTAGCTCGGTGATAAGCCCGGGTCCAGCTGGTTATGGGTTACCGTTCTCTCTTTCTCTATCTTGAAAGCAGATCTCCTGGAGTTTTCGGCAGATCCCGATCATTTTTCGTCGTCGTTCAAAGCGACAGTCCAGACGACTTCCCGCTCCCGATCAACCAGTGATCATTGAGCTCCTCAAGCTTGAAGAGCTCGGGCTTGACAGGGCACCTGATCTCCCCTGTACTGGATATCACTCCTCTGTGCTCCAGAAGAACTCCACCGTTAGATTGCCGGTCCATTGCTGCCGCTTTATCGACCGGGTATTGATATTTACCAGGGGGTTGCTCTCTGAGGACCCATCTGGTGCTGGCCCTTCACAGGCAAGGGTTCGTTATCCAGTTGTCCAGAGGACCGGCTCAGTGTCCGTGTCTTGTCGATCAGATATTCACGCTAGATCGCATGCGTACAGGTCTCCAGCCGACTCAAGCTTATTGTTTGGATCGGAATCTAGGCCTAACAAGTCTATGAAGTAGTACAAACGTTAGCAGCTTTATCTGGTTCCAAACTTCAGTGACACACGTATATAGGTTTCTATATCCTTTCCCAGAGCAGATTTTTCTCCTCTTTCTCCAGTAGATGCTTGGAGTTGGTGTAGTATCGTGTCTGGATTATCGACTACTTTTAAAAAAGCAGCAATATCAGACACCTCCAGTGTCTACGCCCTTCGCTAAAGAGATGCAAGGAGCGTCAGCTTTTAGCCGCTGTGGAATCAGGTCCTTGTCGTATGTAAGATTTGACAGCTTGCGCCTTGCTTATTTCCAACTGGAGTATAGCCTATGGAGTAGTTGAGAATAGTAGATGGACGAGATGTCCCTGTAAGTTTCTGGATATCAAATGGCCGTTAAGCATCAGGGTAGATAACTAAGCGCATGAAACGAAGCTGCACAGGAATGGCTGCTAGCAAACACTCGTTCTAGTAGCATCATCGTCCATCGAAGAGACCAACGTCGAGATCGTAGTATTATAGATGTCTAATACCTATCAAAAATAATAATTGTTATTCCGCGGTTTATGCTTTTTCGACGTCGTCATCCCCCTGGGCCTCCGTCCGCTTGGCCTTGCAGCGTTTCTTTTTCTCTCCGCCCAAAGCCAAAACTTCTCCTTTTGCGGTTTTGATAGATAAATATCCAAACAGAAAAAAATTACTCGCTCCCCCCCGACAAAGGAATTCCAGCAATGAGCTCTTCTGGTCGCGCATCCGGGTTCCACGAGGCATGAAAGGACGACGGTTTACCCTTCTCGCGGGCCTGGCGTCCCTGATTGTTCTGCTCTTCGTCTTCTATGCGCCAAATTCGGACGAGAGGCCTATCATACCAGCTCCAAACCCCGGCAATTCTCCAGCAGCACCGCAACAGCCGCCGCCAGTCGAGTCCTTTGGCGACGAGAATATTAGCTACAATAACCCCGCCGGCTCCACGGGCGATGATCTCGCCCAGCATCCGATCGAGAGGCTGATCCAGACCTCCAGAGCGCAGTTCAAGACCACCCATTCACGACAGTCAAAGACCCTGCAGCAGGCTGCTACCGAGTACCGGCGTCGATATGGCCTTCATCCGCCGCCGCACTTTGACGTCTGGTTCAAATTCGCCCAGAGCAGAGGCGTTCAGATGATTGATGAATATGATACGATATACCACACCCTGCTTCCCTTTTGGGGAGTCAAGCCAAAGACCATCCGGGAACGAGCAAGGGAAGCTATAGGCTTTGAGAATGCCCTGATCGGACTGATGATAAGGGATGGGAATGTTACGCTGGTCGACGGCGGCGGAGAAGGCGAGCAGTGGAAGAGGGATGCGATCAAGGGGATGATGGCGACTTTCGTCAAATACCTACCTGACATGGACCTGGCCTTCAACATACACGATGAACCGAGGGTCGTCATGGCGCATTCTGACCTATCACGACTAGTCGCCGAAGGGAAGCGGATGACTGCCTCGAACGGACAGCAGCAGGGGCTCCATAATCAGTGGTCTGCACGGCCGGAGGGTTTGAATAAGGGCGATAGAATCGATGAAGTCAGACGGACGAGATTCAACAGGTTTGCTCATCAGCCGACGTGGACGAACTCACGGATGTCCTGCCCTCCAGATAGCCCTGCTAGACAGCTGGAGGATGAACCCGTCGATAACACGGCACAGTACTCAACGTCTCCCCTCGGATTCATTTCTAATACCACTGCCTTCTCAGACGTTTGTCTGACGCCTTCTCTACGCCAGACTTTTGGCTTCTTCGAACGACCAAACGCCCTTGATATAGTTCATGACCTCTTTCCTATCTTTTCACAAAGCAAAGTTTCCTCGTTTCAGGATATCCTCTACCCAAGCCCCTGGTACTGGAACGGGAACGTCGCCTACGACGCAAATCAAGACATGGACTGGTCCACCAAGGAAGACCAGATGTACTGGCGTGGCTCGACCACAGGCGGCTTCTCACGAGCAGGTGGATGGCGCAGACAGCACCGTCAGCTCTTCGTACGCAACATCAACAGCCTCAGCCCCACGAATATCCTCGAGAAGAGCCTCGAGACTGGCCGGTGGGCCGTGAAGCAGATTCAGCGGAACGCCCTGAGGTCTCTATTCAATGTGAGCTTTAGCCACGTCGGCCAATGCGATCCAGAGGACTGCGAGGCGCAGAAGGAGTACTTCACCATCGTCAAGCCGGCGAAACAGCAAGACGCATGGAAGTTCAAGTACCTTGTCGATATTGACGGAAATGCCTTTAGTGGGCGGTACTACGCCTTCCTACTAAGCAAGAGCTTAGTATACAAGCTTGCTCTCTTCCGCGAATGGCATGACGAGTGGCTTCGGCCATGGGTCCATTTCATCCCCCTCAGCTTTAGGGGAACCGAACACTACGAATCTGTCCGCTACTTTGCAAAGGAAGAACCAGGCAAAGATGAAGCAATAGCTATTGCACAGGACAGTCAGAAATGGGCACGAAAAGTTTTACGCAATGAGGATCTTGAGGTGTGGTTTTTCAGGCTTTTATTAGAGTAAGCTCCTCCCGCTACCTCCCCATTATCACTACAACGTTACCACGGCTAACACACATCATAGGTACGGCAGAGTCATCGATGATAATCGTGAACGATTGGGCTTTTCAACAGGGTAGAGAAAAAAAAGAATTATAATATACGCTATGGGATGGATTTGTTATCTTATTATTTATAA